ATCAGGTGCGCTTTTATAAACCCGGTAGGGGACTCCATTTGGCCCTGGGGCCGAAGAAGCCTTTGCGCGCCTGACTACCTCCTCAACCTCCTTCCACCTGGGTGGTCTAACATCCATCTCATGAACTATCTGTCCTAATGGTGGCATGTCAGGTGGGAGGCCTACTACTTTATTCTGCTCCAAGTCTGAATACGTGTTTCTTAAATACTTTTGCACTTCTAACTTTGTTGCTTTAAGCTGCCCTCCCTTTTCCTGGTTAAACAGGATTATTATTAAACTAGTGCTAAACCCTGAGGTCAGTCTAGTCTCACGCTGTCAGGAGAGGTTGAGCCCGATGGGAGTAATATGTTCACACAGCTCTGCTCCATTACCCATCTGTCTGGAGAGGAAGAACAATGGCTTTTCTTTCACTCTCTATTTCTTTAATGTTCACGCCTGGCTCTCTGTCTCTGTCTCACTATCGCTGCATCATTAGGTCTCTGCATATACAGTTTATCTCTCAACACTAGAAGGCAGAGACTGGAGGGAATGAGATATTAGCAACATGTCACCTTCATCACTATTTTTTCAGTCACTATGGTAGAAATAACTTACTGTAGTGTAGGCATTGCAGCGCTGGAGTACACTCATTAACCTTATCACACCAAACTAGACAGGTGACAGTAGCTCGGTTCAGATCCAACTGCTTTGATTACCATAGAAACAACTGTGAAACAAAATCTCAGTTTCTACTTATTTCTATATCAGTTATGGCATCTGTCATAAAGAGTGCAAAAATTCAGAAAGTGATAGTCAGTGGTGCAGCAGTGTAATTTTGAAGCTGCGATGTTAACGAAAGGTCATTGCACAAACACTCCAGCTGGCATGTTTGTCAGTGTGCTCACACACACTCACACAGTGTTACTAGTGCAGCGGTTTTTACACTGTGAAGAACAGCGGAATGCTGCTGAGGTTTCTCGTAACAAAGGGAAGTTAGCTTTTGTTGTTTGGCCTGGTGATTTGACCCATTTACCAAAACACTCACACACACCTTGAGCTGCAGCAGAGACTGTAGCCGCATTTCCTTCAACCTGCTTAATTCGCATTTTGAAATTGCAAACAAAAAAAGGAGTAAATGAAGAAACGTTCCAAAAAATGTATACACTCACATTAGGTGGTTTTTCAAACTATTTGACAAAGCAATGTTTTTCAAATGTGAAATGGAAACACACTATTTTTCTGCATTTAAGTCACATGAGTAGTCACATGACATCCGAAACATCACAGACTATTACCTCCCAAAAATCCCAAATACGTGGCCGCTGCCAGATATAAAGGGTTTGCCTTTCCTTTATTATGGATGCCCTCGTCACCTTCAACTAAATACTACAATAGCTATTGCACAGTGGATGCAATCCAACGCAAAGCAGATGCTGGAAATCCATCACAATGTTTTTTTTTTGTTATTTTTTAAGTTATATTTTGGCCACTTTATGCTTTTATTTGATAGAAACAGTAGAAAGTCCCTGGCTTGACTCGCTGCTCAGGGCATGAGCCTAGGTGGTATGCACCCTAACCATTCAGCCCCATCTGTCTCCAGGGTGTAAGCTCATCTTCTTTTGCATAACATCACTCAATGGAAACACAGACCATTTGCAATTGTGTTTTGTCGACTTCTTAAAAAAAAAAAAAAAAAAAAATCTGAACACATAGACATGATACACATATTTATGGATTCAATACTATTTTTTAGAGGATACGATTATCTTGAAAGCAATTGTCCGTAAATCCACCTAGAAATAAAAAATACAATCTTCAAACTTGCCTGAGAATCATCAGGTTTTTAAGTTTTGTTCAGTATCAAATTCAGACCGCTAATAGGAACTGCTAATTGCTAATTCTGCATACATTAAAGGTGCTTGCATTGCCAAAATGTTAACTAACATAGGCTAAATAAACAGAGCTCAAGTTGTAGCCTTAACTTACTGTAATGTACCAAATCCATGGCAATATTATACTTCCTGTTTACGCCCATCAAAGCATTAGGAGTTGGGAGTTATGGAAGTTCCATCAAACATAATTAAGGCCACGAATAAAAATCCCTTCACATCAACCATTTAGACAAGACTGAGGCTCAATTTTGTCTAAATGGAGCTCATTCTCTCAGACTGTGAAAACTCCTGCTTCAGTAGTTACCTCACTTTGAAGGGTGCTGCTGCTGTGGGAAAAGTAAAACAAGCCAGAGTCACATACTCTACTCAAACACAAATTTCTGACCTGTTAACGCATTTTGTAGCGACAGATTGTCACCACAGTGTGTTTACAGGCATGTTTCAGTGCACAGCGCAGGGTCGGCTTCAATTTGCCGTGACGGCGGATGAAGAGTCGGCCAGCGACAGTCCAGTCAAGATGAAGCTTTGTTGAGAGCTCTGTGAAATTTCAGATGACACGGAGAGGCCAGGGCCGTGGACAGCTGAGAAATCCTCCTCAGGCATAAATCCTCCAGACTTGAAATCCTGTCTACAGCTTGCCTAAGCTGTAAATTCCCCTTCGTGGACACTCCATTTAGTTTGAAATTTGAACATGAAAGCTCTTAATTTGTGCAATATAAGATGGAAAATGTCTTTTTACAGCCTTTTGGTCATTTAAGGGTATTTTATATGTTAAAGCAGTTGTTTGTCACTCAAACATTCATGTAAGCGAGTAATATTTATATTTTAGGACTATCTGACATTATAGAGCCGGGGTAGAATTTACTTTATACTGCTACTCCTAATAATATAATTTACTCTGTTACTTTGAGGATTATGATTTTACACAGAAGACATGAGATGACTTTGATGCACTGCTACAAATCAAAATCCTGAACAGTACAAAAACGAGTCAAAATCAACTCAACTTGGGTCAATCACCATAGTCTTGCATTCAAAATACTACTTATTATGAGCAAATATTATTAGCAAAATCTACTTGAAAATGTACATAAACATTACTCTATTGATCATTATCATTTATGACCATTAACACTGATGCATGAACAAGTAAGCAGCATTTAACTGTTGTGGTTAGTGGAAGTGGAGCTAGTTTAAAAAAACATTACATACTGTTAGTTTAGTCAAGTGGTAAGGCAAGGCGAGTCAGACAGATGTTACATTTGTAGTTGGGAATGAAAGTTGTGTTGACCTCAAAACCCAATGTTGGCCTTTAGCAGATGTTGGGTTTTTCCTCACGACCAGAATGTCGGTATTTTATACGTCAAGATGGTGTTGGCATGAGACGTTTGGAAGACATTGTATTACTTAAAACACAACTTAAACTTAAATTCACGCCGGCATTAGACGTTGTCCTGATATTGAATTTTGGTACCCAGCGTCACAACCTACATTCAACCAAATACCAACGTCTAACAACATTGGTGGCCAGCTGCGTGCCTGCAGGAATAAATCTGAGGGGTCATGAGATGATGGGAGGGGGAAGAAGAAGAAAAAAAAACTGTTTTTGTCATATTGTCTAGTTTTTGCTTTTTGGTTAAAAAAAAAAAGAAAAGAAAAAAAAGTGATTATTTTATTTCAAACTTTTATTGAAATGAAACTATCTGAGAAGTTTAGAATGGAACTGTCTCTTTGGTTGAACTGCTACCAACACTATATAAATAAATATTTCAAAAAGGCCCCAACCAGGCATTGCTTTTTTTGTAAGGAGGTCACAAGCCAAATATGTTTGAAAGCACATCTATGAAATAACTAACAACTGGCTGTAAAATATGGTAAATGTATTGGAGTGAAACGTACAACAGTTCCCTCTTAAATGTAGACGAGCAGAAGTATAAAGTAAGATTTTGAATGCAGGACTTTATTTGTAATAGAATATTTTCTCACAAGTACTGTACTTTTACGTAACTACTTCCTCCACTACTGTAAAAGACCACAAGTTATCTGACTTCCCAGATAAATAATGAATCACATGTGCTCTCTAAAAACCTAACCCTGAAGAAACACAGCCTCACCTGCAGGATTAAGCGCTTTGGTCCTGTTTTTAAAGGTTGAGCCAAGTAGATATGAGAAAAGAGCTGATTCAATGTGCCTTGAAGCAGCTTCCTGTTATCTCTGGAGTGTTTTGTGGAAATGGGAGTTCAGGGATCCTCTGTGAGGCCAACGAGACGCTCCTCAGTGTGGCTTATTGTAGATAAATCGGAGCAATCAGACTGTGCGGAAAAGAACACTCCAGCAAAATTTAGAGAATTTAATTCAATCCCGGGTGAAACTTGGGAGTGTGGAAAACGCTCCGAGTATCAGCTGGTGAAATATATTTACGTTAAATCAAGAGTGCAGTGACTCCGGTAAGCATCCCAAAGGCAAAAGCCAGAGATATAGCGCTGTATGTTTTCTGTGTTTGTTCTTTTTGTCCCTCAGTCCCCATGAATCCTTGCAGAGTGCTTGTCAGCATTCTTGGTGCGTCTCCAGGTCTTTGTATGCTGCTTGTTCCCCAGGAAGCTTATTCAAAAATATGAGAAAATAAATGAGTTTGACTGTGCCCGGCGCTTTTTTATCTGTTTCATGGTAAAAATCCCAGAGGAAGCCCTCTGACACCATGGATCTTTTTCCACGAGTCATTTTTTAAATTCAAACAGATTATATTGTTGGTTTTTTTTTTATCATTTGTTAAACTATAATTACTTTTACAACTATAGTGAGAAAATGGTCTGTGTATATGTGTGTGCATGACTGCAGACCCACATTTGAATTATGTTTACATTACTATGCTACTATGTTTTTCTTATCCCTTGGCTGAACTGAAGACTAATGGCGGTTCATTTAATATTTATGAAGCACGTCTCCCAGAATGCTTGGCTGTTGTCCTCAGTCTTATATAAAAACCACTGATTTAGCACAAGACCGTTTGAAAAACCATGTTCTAATAGAATGTCTCCCTCTGTCTTCTCCTCTCTCACCCTTGTAATCACCATCTGTTTGTCCATATTGTGTGATCCTTCGTTTCTGGTCCCCGTGGCTCGCCACCAGACGCTACTTTTGGCCTCCTGCTTGCTGTGTTTGTGGTTTGTGGCCTGGCTCTGCTGGGCCTTCTTACATTCGTCTCCTGGAAGCTGTGCTGGGTGCCTTGGCGGACTAAGGCCCATTTCCCCAGTCCATCCCTCGCCCCTGCCTGTGGCCCAGAGCACCACCAGCTCCAGCCGCCTCCCCTGCTGCCCAGCTCCCAGCAGCTGCCGGTCACCATGGCGACAGAGAAGGTGAAGGACCCCGTGGGCTCAATGGGTTTCCTGGAGGCAGCGGTGAAGATAAGCCATACATCTCCTGACATCCCCACCGATGTGCAGCTCTCCATGAGGGAGCACTTCCTGCGCCGCACGCAACGCATGCAGAGACAAACCACTGAGCCGGCTTCCTCCACTCGGTTAGTCACACACCCTGTATGTGCTGTGTGATGTGGTTATCCATGTGTAAATATGCTTACGGTTACATACAAACATGCAGGCGTGCACACATAAGCAGAATTTAAGACGTGCCATCACGTGGAGTGGGCACCAAATATCCTTAATATATCACTAATGAGGGTAGATATTTTTTATCTGGGCAATTTGGTATCTACAAAGTTAATTATAATAAATACTATAGATGGCATTGCTCTCTGCCTTAGAGGCATCTCTTCGCAGGTCATTATGGTAAAGCTAATTATATGTGATGGCTTCTTCATTAGAATTAATGGAATATGGTGGGGGAAAAAAATCCTTTGCTGTAGCAACACAGGCAGAGCTGCACGTTTTCAACATGTTAATAAGTGAACATTAGTAGTCCACTCTGCTTATGTATGCAGTTGTCCTTTAAAAGTACATTCGCCCTCTAATTAAAACAGTAAAAATTCTGGTTTAGGGTCCTGACACAGCACATCATCCGTCCTCACAGGGCAGGCTTAGTCTAGTTTTATCTTGACTTTGCCTCAAAAGACCAGATACAAAAGAGCACCGAAAGAAAGGCAAAGCTCAAAAAGTGACAGATGCAAATCAGACATATTCTTAATCAGTATTCCAAGCATTTAAAAAAGATTGACAGTGACATGAAAGCAGACAAGCTTGCAAGTGTAATTGTTTTCATGCATTTTTTAAAAAACAAAAAAAAAACCAACAAAAAAACCCAATATGAATACCAGCCACGGGCCACAAGTTATTTCCTCTCACACAGGAAATAACTAAGATAGCATTGGCTGTCATCTTTGTCTGATCAATTACAACCTTAACAGCAGATGTGCGGGGACATGAGGTGACACAATCAGTCACCCCTTTGTCAGCGCTGGTTCTTTGAGGTCAGCTTCCCTGCTCATCTTCACCACAGCTCCTCAACACAAACCACAGCTATATCCCCTCTCACTCCTCACTCTTTCCTTCTTCCTGTCTTTTCTGCCACCACAGGCACAATTCTTTCAAAAGACACCTGCCCAGGCAGATGCAGGTAGGCAGTCTAGACCTGGGAAATGACTACATGGTGGACAAAGAGGAAAAACCCACCAGCATTGGTCGCATCCAGCCAGAGCTGTACCAACAGAAGGCCCTGGAATCAGAGGATTCATCCAAGAATGGCAGCAGCAAAAACTGTGGCAGGATCAACTTCTCTCTCAAATACGACTACGAAAACGAGGCCCTCTTAGTCAACATCCTCAAAGCGGAGGACCTGCCCGCCAAGGACTTATGCGGCACATCCGACCCTTACGTGAAGGTCTACCTGCTGCCCGACCGCAAGAAGTTCCAGACCCGCGTCCACCGGAAAACTCTCAACCCCACGTTCAACGAGAGTTTCCAGTTCCCTGTGCCTTACGACGAGCTGGCGGTCAGGAAGCTCCACATGAGCGTCTTTGACTTTGACCGGTTTTCACGGCATGATATGATCGGGGAGGTGGTGCTGGAGAACCTGTTCGAGACGTCGGACCTCTCCAGGGAGACAAACATATGGAGGGACATCGACTATGCCACCAGTGTAAGAATCTATTGGCTTTTTTTTTCATTTCCTCTAAGTTCTGTATTAAATAACAGATTACACAGAGACGCTTATATCCCATGTGACATGTATGAGCTATTCATATTATTACATTTTCAGCCAGGGCGATAACTACCACTGAAGATGCTATAGACGTGTCCTCTGTAAAATTTATGAAAGAGGAATTTTAAATGCTACTTTTAAAACACACACATTTTATAGGTGGAATCCAGTGCTTTCAGACTAAATGAGCTATATTTTTGTGGCGACGCAACAACTATCACCATTCATACTGCTTCAATCAAATAAAGCAGCTCAAAGCGAGTCGTCTGTATTTCAGTGAAAACTGGGTCTTACACATTGTGCTGAGAACAGATGTCTCAGAACCACAGCGCTCTGCCTCTCCATTGTGCTACAAGAATGACTGGAAATCAGATCTTTATTAGAGCCAAGGTGATTCTTTCTAACATAAAGAGTGAGTGTGTGTGTGTGTGTGTGTGTGTGTGGGTGTGTATGTGTATGTGAAAGAAAAACTAGTTCAGCCAGCCACATGGAATAGAACATGTACAGAATATGTATTAATGTTTGGCATCTAGGCTTTGACCTTATTGCTCTCCACAAGGAAACATCAAGATCAGCTAGGCAGGGAGTGGACACCGACTTCCCCACAAGACTACAGGTGGACGTTGGGGTAAAGGCGCCGACAGCAGCATTGCTTTTCTGGTGTGCGGTATGGTGGCAGCAGATGAATGAGCAGAGCACTGACGCCTTAAACACACTAACTATGAGCAAAAGGGTGTGTTGTACATGTGTGGCAGCGAGAGGAGACTTGAGGTGGGCCGCCGAGCTCGCAGACTTCACTTCATTAACGACTAAAGGAAAGAAAATGAAGGCTTGTTCAGGGCTTACCTCATCAGCTGTCCCTCGAGTGGCCAGACCATGCGGTGTTCGTCTTCTTCCACTTTCTGTTGAAGTTTTGTTGCGTGTAGTCGCTCTAAAAAAAAAAAAAGAAAAAAAAGAAAAAAAAAAGGGGGAAACAAATGTGGAGAAAGTCTCAGCAAAAGACAAGTAGTCAAACAGATGTTGGCTCTCTCTCTCTGTTGAACAATAGCTCAACAAAGTCAACACCTCAGTGCTGCGATGCATCAGCACTAAACTGACCTGGCTCTGTCCACTCCCAGCCAGCTGAAAAAACAATGGAAGGTGATAATGTGAGTCTATTAGGATTAAAAACGTCTGTATCCCATCGAGGCGGGCTGGTTCCACGGTCCTGGTGTTGTGCATGCTGCAGGATCCCCGGCACTGAGACAGACTGAACTGAGCCATCGTTAACGAAATCAGTTTCACCTGTGGATTTCCTGCTATGACAAGTCAACATGTCTGTCCTAAAAAAAAAAAAAAGAAAAGAAAAAAAATACTAAACCTCACATCTGTCAATGTGATGATTTTATCAACAGGAGAAAACTTAACACTAATAGTAATAGTAATAATTCTAAAAATTTAAATAATTTCAATTTAATACTTCCCACCCAGCAACTCATCATCACTGTAAATCAATATGGGTGAGTCTTACAGTGTCTGGAAGATGCAGTGCAATGATGCCTGAAATCTTGTTGCATGGATGCGATCATATAAACGATTTTTATTTCTGTTATTTATTCCTCTCATTATTTAATTACAATATGAATATGATAAGTGTTGACCCCTATTATATTTGATATTTTCTGTGTATTTCTGTGAAATACACTGAAGATATAACATGAAACTGAATAACTGAACGCCAATCCACAGCACAAGATTCAGAGAATCTCTTTCAAGTGTCTAGTCAAAATTTTTAAGGGGTAATGTGAGGGTGAGTGGTGCCTTCAGGGAATTAAAATCCTACCTACAGCCCTGTGATGTGAAACAAATCACTAGAAATACAGCAACGAGCAAATGCATTATCACAAATTGTCACTTATTAAAATCATAAAGGGACTAGCACTTCAAACACAAAAGGATATTTCTGCCTCACAGCTTACTGCAATTGTTTCTCTGATGGCGTTGTTTCTTGTCCGGGGGCCAGTTTCGGGAACTCGATGTGCCTCGTCTCTGGCAGCATGTTAGGCACCTCAGAGCCCTCATCACTTTATCACCTCCCCAGCACTCTTATATCAGACAGCCCCCCCCCCCCCCCCCCGCTCCCTCCAGTTGTTGAACTTGAGCTTCTTCAAGGATTGTTCAATAATCTCAACGTTATTGCTTAGGAGGCAGAAACAGCAGCTCTCTCCTTGGCACACAAACTTTATCGAACCACCAAATGATTTTGTGACAAAATCCCTTGCTCGCATTAAATTCAAGATTGGCAACATAAAGAATGCACAGATGGTGGGATATCAGTAGAAATACACACACACACACACACACACACACACACACACACACACACACACACACACACACACACACACACACACCAGAAAACAAAATAAATATGAAGCGGTGAGTAATGAAAGTCTTGGGTAGGATAAAGACACTATTTTAAAAACACTGCACATCTTAATGAGTGAAGAGGGGAGGAGGGAAGAAAGTAAGAGAGCCAGCAGTTTTCCTCAGTTCATAGATCAAGGAGAGATGGTCGTCAATAACACCAACCTAAAAGCACTGGATAAAAATTCTGAAGGAGACTAGTTTACATATCGACTTCAGACCATTCCTCGTGTGTGTGTTCAATCTTAGCAAACTGTTCTGTGAAGGTTTTTACATGCTGATGAGTGGAATGAATGGAGGAGATTATTTATCAACTGTGGAAGTGAATAGAAACCAAGAGGTAATTATTTTTTCTAATAAGGCATCCATGGTGTTTAATAGATGAAGCAGCGTGAATGCAATCACTGTAAATGACTAATAAATAAATGATGCCAGACTTAACGGTGGTTTTTTTTTAGCAGACTCTGCTCGATGCTGTGGCTTCGGTGCAGCGGTCCGTTGAGCTAAATGCTAACATTGACATGCTAATGTTTAGCAGTATACTGTGTACCATGTTTACCATCGTGGTTTAGCATTTTAGCGTGGTAACATTTGCTGAAGCAAAACATAAAGAACAGCTGAGTTATGCAGGTGTTTGGTCACAAATCAAAGTGTTGGACAAGAAGTATTTAAACTGATGCTAATTGGTGCTTACAGCAAGTACAGTGGGAATTCTGAATTAATGGCAGCTCTAAGTGAAAAGTCATTCATCCTGGGAGGGGCAGGGGTGTCTGGGCCATACTTCATTGCAATCCATCCAATAGTTACTGAGAGATTTAAGTCAAAACCACAAATGATCACCATCTTAGTTTAGTGTGGAGCTGGTCTAAAGTTCACTGAAGGTAAATCCAAAGACCTGAAAAGCAAATTGGAATTGGCTGAATGCACACATACTGTGTTCAGCTTAACTAACATGGCTCGGCTTCAGGAAAATTATACGATTGCCCCTGAGGATGATGTGAAAACACAATCACCTGGTTATGTGTTCACAAGATGCACAGGTGACGGGAAAGCCACTGTCATGTAAAGATCTTTCAGCGGCTTGGATCATGTACTATTAAGCCGTGGGAAACATTTACACGAAAACATGTTACTAGATTTTTACTAGATCGCCCAGTAGGCATATGTACTCTCCCTTTCCTTGTTGATGGCATAAAAGTTATTTCTAATAATTAATGCAATACACAAATTAAAACATATTAATCATTATCTTATCTTCCACAACCATGAAAAAGAACTCCTTTAATAACTAAAAGCAGGAACACATAAATCAATGACTTGTGCATCAGAGTCATTTTCATGGCTGCAGGGGAAATTATGCTGGATATGAAGAGAGAAAACTATTAGGCTACTCACTTATGTGTATAATCTAATTATTTTTTTTATAATAAAAAGCTACTTTCAATTTGATTTTAGACTTTTTTCCAATGTTATTTTAGTCCCAGCAGCTGCAACTGAAAGTGGAAAATGTGCATTAGGTTATGGATCCTGGTTATATTTATTTTATGACATTGAAATGTGATAGTCATTTTGCAAGCTATCAAGTCATAAAACAAAAGTACGGGACAAACTGATATTTTATTGACCTGATGATGACGCCATACAATGAGATAAGGGGTCAAAGTTTTTAGAATTCATCCTCTGGGGACCATAAAAGTATGAATATCAATAGCCAAAAATGTCAACCTCATAGTGGCTCTACAAGTCAGGAGGATTCATCCTTTGGGATCCAATAGTTGTTCTATTAGATATTTTAGTCTGGACCAAAGTGATGGACTGATTGACAGACCACAGAGCGACGCCGCCGACATGGCAAAAAAAATGGATAATGCAGCACAGGTGATACCGACTGGCACCAAAAACAGCCTGTGTTTCCACTTGGACAATCAAAGTGTCACTTCATGCTTTTATAACACTCAATGTTTCTGCTGTGCTCTCACATTATGGCTGAACCTTCACACCCTTCAAATGAAATCCCTCACTTCCACAGGAGAGAAAGCCGAATCGCAGCTGTGCGTGTGAAGAGACATTAAGACTGCTGCACTCAGACAGACGTGTTGGGATTTGCCAATCAGTGGGGCTCTCGCCAGGCTCATTCAGAGTGATTAGGGGTCTGTGTGACCTTAATACTGTTTCTAGGATGGGGCTAGGAACTCACATGGGACAGATAACAGGACTCTCCTTCCCCTTGAGACTATTATCTCAGAGGGGACTCGTACAGGACTGTCTCTACACAAGTGAAAGTTAATATTTTAATTGGTAGGTTTCACTTTGAAAGTTTTTGTTTAAGAGTAATTTAGAGTATAGAAGACATCCTCAGATGATGATCCAAGCCTCTAAAAAACTTTGCCTGAGACATAGTCACCCGTTGATTATGTGGGTAATTGGTTTACATTATGTTAAAGTTCTGTGCTGCAAATTTGATATGCTCTGTTTTATTGGATGATGATGATCATCTGGGAACATAATCAGAAATTGTGCTCTTTGTTAATGTAATGAAAACTGCAAGCAATGAGAATAAGGACATTTGCTGTTTGGCAGATGCATTGAGGTGATCAGGAGTAATTTCAGAATTAGACCTTAAACGCCTCAGAGAGATCCTGGCAGCTGGATAACCTCAAGGACTTGAAGTGAAGCCCAGTTTTTCACTTTCCTTTTCTCACTTGAATGGTTCTCTAATGTCGTTGATGAGACCCACGGCACCTTTAACTTTGCGTTTGACAGGTGCATGGGAAAAGATCCAATGATGATCAGTATTTTTTTTCTTACAACTTTACAGCTTCATCACCTGTTCCTGTATGTCTTTGTGTTTTAAGTATTAGGTACTGAGATCAATAAATATAGTGAGTAAGCATAACTCATGATGGTTTTTTTTCTTTCAGAAAAAGAGAAATAATCCTTAAAGTAGGGCTTAGAGTTTTCTTTAAAGGAATAGTTGGACACTTTAAGAAATGCACATATTCCCTTTCTTGCCAAAAGTTAGATGAGAGGACCGATCTTATATCTGTGCATTCATTATGGAGCTGGAGGCAGGGGGAAGCAGCCAGACTGACTCTGTTGAAATACCATACCAGAACCTCTAAAGTTTACTAATTAACACATTATAGCTCATTTGTTTAATCGTATAAAACAATTTGTTTCTACATTTTGATTAGTGTACAAACAAAATAAATGAACAACAACTTCATTAATGAGCTTTTAAAGGTCTGGTCAAAAATGAGGCCTGATCACAACAGCATTTTAAACTGAAAGCTTTTCAAACTTAAACCCCCTATAATGAATATTTCAACTAATGCCAACCATCTTGATACGCACTGCTCTTTCAACTGTCACGGGACCTTGTCAGTACAGAGAGCGAGAGTTTGCATTAGCACAGCGTCTAACACTGTGTCAGCGCTGCCAGATACAATCTAACAAGCTAACAAACAACATTAACATATAACAACGCTTGCCGTTCTGATACCTCTCTCTGATATTTCCTCCGCTAACCATCTTGATACACTCTTCTCTTTCCCCTGTCAAATTAACACAAGCAGCGCGGGATCCAGATTTCTCAATGAAGAAGTAAGCAAAGATTTATGTGGGAAAAACATTTTAAACAAAATATTAATCATAGCAGAGTATTTTTTAACATAATATAAAACATGTCTGGAGAGGAACTTTAAAATAAAATTTGTGTTAAAATCAATTAAATCAAGTGGTATCACTGCCACTAGTGATTTTGCATCCTGGGATGAAATAAATCAGCTCAAATTTTTCTAGTCAAATTCATCTTTGTTGAATTTAGACACCCACATTTGCACAATTGACCAATAACAGACAGTCTTGACAGTGCTGACTTTTAACGGAGCAAAGACCCTGAGAACTTAAAAGTGGAGGATGCTGTTGTAGATTATAAGTTGTGCTGCATCATCCACTTTTATCTAACCTGCTTGTCAAACTCTTCATGCTACGCAAAACTAATCCTCCTGAGGCTCAAACTCCAAAGTTTATGCATAGACATGAGAGTGGTTTCAATTCTGTCGTCTCAATCTCTGCAGGAAATTGTATTTTGCAAAATGTCTATTTCCTTAAAACAGTGGAAACTGTTTTTTTTATTGCCCCAATGGTACAAAATACAGACAGACTAACCTGCACTATGCAACAAGTATCCATTTGTCTTCCGACACAATACAAAATTTGCCTGAATCCCTGCTGCTCCTGTTCTGATGGCAGTTACCAAAACACAGGCTCACAATGCAGTTCTCATACAAGCCAAAAATGTAAATGGAAAAAGTTGCATTATTTTGCATCATATTGCCTTTAATACACATTTCTGAGTAATCTGTGCTGTAATTAGTTAGTTTACTCACCACAATAGTGAGAATATGACTTTATTGAACAGAAACCATAAAGTTGATGTTTTATGATAGAGGTTTAAGAGGGTAACAGGTAACACCAATGTTCCATTAAAAAAGTTTTCACTGTTTCACTGAATCTCTGCTCTTACCCACAGACCTTAAACAGACCTTGAGAGCGAGAGCGAGAGAGAGAGAGACCCTACACTTATCACACATCACTCTGGATCATCTGTGCTGAATATAAATGTGAAACTAAAAGAGATTTTTTTGTCTGTGTGTGTTCCCACAGGAAAGTGTTGACCTTGGAGAGATCATGTTCTCACTATGTTACCTGCCCACCGCAGGCAGACTCACACTTACTGTCATCAAGTGCAGGAACCTCAAGGCCATGGACATCACTGGATACTCAGGTGTGTGTGTGTGGACGCACTGTAGCTGTCTGTATGTGGCTGGGCGTTTGTGTGATTCACTTATAGCCGCAAATGAGTCACAATGAATGATTCCCCTCTACCCCCCACCCACTTTGAAAATCCGATTGTGAGTGTGTCAGATGAAATGAACAAACAGTGGAGAGCCCTCTCCACTGCTGACTGCTGTTTATTTCAGCAGTTATTAATATTCAACACTTGCAATATTGAGACATTGTCAGCAAATAGTTGCAGGCGGTCTGTTTATTTTAATAGTCCTCTTTTCCAATTTTCCATGTTTCCCCAAAAATACAGATACCACTTGTAAAACGTGACATTTATTGTGCCTTAAATGTCAGGGTTCAGGTGTAATTCTGAATGAATGTGACGTTTTCCCTCCCCATGTTTAATGACATTTCACGATTTTAATGTGAGTCACAATTTTAATGTCCTGAGTTTTAGGGGGGCAGGGGGTTTAGCTGCAGCCATTATTGCAGCCAGTGCATCGTAAAACCCCGTAGCTTTCAAATTGTGCCTTCAAGCATATTGGGTTGCTAAGCGAGCACTCTTGTTTGTTGTTTATAGATTTAGGGCAGCTTACATCTGACTAAAACACAGCATAATGGAACACACTAGGCGATTTGCCACTAACGGACGAAGATTGAAATCAGCATTCATCAGGAAGCTTTCTCAGTCATGCTTTTTAAGCTATCTGTGGCCTCCCATTCTTTTTGTTTACACAAGGCATCGACTCATCTACATTTATGCACATTACTGATGCCAGGTCCTCCAGGGTTTCACGCTTGAGTAGAAACCAAACAACACACATACACTGGTTGTTGAAATAGGCCACTGATGGCTCTATCTTCACGGCGGCGAGGCAGGCAAACATGGTAAAAAGCTCTGCGTTTTTAATAATCCCAGAAGCCTGATAGTCTCGCAAATTACTCCTCTGGCAGATTCCTAAGCAAGATGCAGAACTTGGAGAGTGTCCGAACATGGTGACAGTCACTCTTTTCTGTTCTTGTTCTTCACTCTTCTCCTCTCCCGCATTAGATCCCTACGTCAAAGTGTCGCTCATATGTGACGGGAGACGTTTGAAAAAGAAGAAGACTAGCATAAAGAAGAACACTCTGAATCCCACCTACAACGAGGCCATCATCTTTGACATTCCACCAGACAGTATGGACCACGTCAGCCTGCACATCTCTGTCATGGATTACGATCTGTACGTACAAACGAGAGCTGACGCTGATAGTCGATTAATCGATTAGTCGATTGATAGAAATCTGCAGCCGAAACCAATAGTTTCAGTCATTTTTTTTCAAGCCAAAATAGTGAGAAAAATGAACTAAAAAATAAGAATAATCATTATAAGCTGAATATCTCTGGGTTGTAAGCTTCTGATTCAACAAAACAAGACATTTTAAGGCATCACTTGAGACTCTGAGCAGCTGTGATGGTGTTTTTTTCACCATTTTTTGACATTTCATTAACTGATAAGGAAAATAACAGTTAGCTGCAGCCCAGGTACAAACCAAATACAAGTGTAGTAATACATGTTCAATTTAGCATCAGTCTGAAAATGCTAGAAACCACCAGATGAGGACAATAAATAAAATATTAAATCTCCCTTCAACACAAAAATTGTTTTGCTTATAATGAATTCACTTGGATGTGAAGTGACTGAATTATGCAATTTTAATAACTTTCAAGAAGGGAATTGAAGGTTTTTTTTGTGTGGAAAAAAACATATTGTGTGCACCACCTGTATGTGAAGCTATAATAGGAAAGGGGAAAAGTAGATCCAGTGCAGACAGTTGACAGGAAGAGAATATGTTAAAGGTCAGAGCATGTGTGTGTGTGTGTTTTTTTTACTGTGTTGCATAAAAGGATCAGATACTCCCAGGATTAGAAACCTAGTCCCTTGTGTTTTCGTGTTTTTTTTATGCTGGGTTTAAATCAGGTTGTACTAATAATCTTGGGTTTATGTCAAGAAAAACAAAGCTTTCATTTACACTTCAGAGGTCATTGATTGAGCAACAATCTGCCTTAATGGCTTCCCTGAGATGAGTCAGTTCGAGTGTCACAGAGACAGTCAGCGGCAGACTCACTGTATCAATCAACAGGACATCTGGATACAGATTTGTGTCTCCTTTGATTCCTAAATCCCCTTCGTGCGATCAGAAACAACAATGTGATGTATGAGATGTCATGTCAGGTTAAGTCAGATGTATTTATACAGTACGCGTTTGTCCCCACAGGGTAGGTCATAACGAGATTATTGGTGTGATGCGGGTTGGATGCAGTGCAGAGGGACTTGGCAGGGACCACTGGAACGAAATGCTGGCTTATCCACGCAAGCCCATTGCACACTGGCACCCCCTGCTGGAGTCCAAGAAGTCTGAGAAGGAGGTAGGTGTTGGGCTGTAGTCATTTTTCAAGGATTATTCTATACGTGTTCATCATTTAGGATGAGGAATCAGGGGCTTAGCTGGTAAATCTCAGCTCAGGTTAAGAGTATCGCTATCGCTCTAGGGCAGAGGTTTGAAACTGTGAGGACGAGTTGTGTGTGGGGGGCGGGGTGGGGTGGGGGGGCATGAAGCAGCAAAAATAAGAATACTGCATGAGGTTCAAGTGAAAGGTGAATGCAGGTGTACTGAAAACAAGATTTAAGTGTGGTCTGCTGATCTGGCCCCCTGCCCAACACTGTCAGGTTGCAGCACACCACACAGCTCACAGAGGCAATGAAGGTACTTGCATCCACAATCAAACTCCTTCTCTGAGTCATAACTCGGTCAAATCTGAACACACAGACACAATACACATATTTTTGAAGTTGGCGTGACTCACACTTTCTGTGGACATCATTATCTTCAAAGTCTGAATGAATGAATGAATGTCCATACATCTGTTTAGAAGTCATTGAAAAAAAATATCTTTATAATCTGACAATCCTTGCCTGACAATCATCACATTTACACAGTTTACTTCACTATCAAAGTAATCCAGTGCTAGTTGGAAGTACTAATAGCTAATTCAGCATACTTTTAATGGTGCCTCTTTTATATGTAAACAAATAAAGGCTAAAAAGGTAGTAGTCAACAGCTGAGTCTATGGTAACAAACTTCCTGTTTACATTCCGTGAAGCATTGAGTTCCATTATTATTAATCCCCCAATAAAAGTAAGACAAAAAATAATAATAGGAGCAACCAAATCCATTAATATTAACTGTTTAAACATCACTAAAGCACAAAACATCCCATCAGCATTGGTTACATATTTTTTAAACACATTGTAATTTAATAATGCTTTAATTTAAAAAAAAAAAAATCAATTAATATTCAATATTGTAAAGACCCAGGAGATGTTGATAACATCATTGTGTTTCTGATGGCACTGTTATGTGGGTATCCTGTCAGATATTAATTATTAATCTGTTCCCTGCATGAGTGCATTCAGTCTCTTTTGTGCGATATTCCTGGAGCACAGACACTCTCCTCTGTACAGCTTTTTGCTCTGTGTTGAAAGTGACCTGAGACTGACAGTGCTGTAAAAAAAAAAAAAAAAAAAAAAAAAAAAAAAAGAAGAAGAAGAAAAAAAAAAATGCAGAATGTGCCCTATGAATCATTGCCTTGTGTATGTGTGTCCTGCAGTGGAAGGCGAGGACAGCCAGCTTTGACAGCCAAGGCTCCTGCCCCTCACCAAGGCCCCCTGCCAGTCCCTGAGCAGAGCCACCTGTGACCCAGCAGCCCAGAAGGGGGTTTCCTCCCTCCTGTTGATCCACTTCCTGTCTGTCTGATTGAGGAGAAACACAACCCCACTGCCTCCCACCCCCCCTCCCCTCTCTCTCTCTCACCCTCCCTCTCTCTCTGTTCCCCCTTCTTCCTCAAGTCTAGTCCCAGAGCCCTCCCAAGAACTGATCTAGGACCACCATCAGTCAGTTAGTCGTGTGAAGCGCACAGTCTTTTCAGATTAAAGTTTTAGGGTCTCTGATTTGAAATGTGGGTGTTGTGATGAACCAGAGTTGCCCTCAGAGGAGACTGGCTGCACATCCAGTCTGCAGACATTTAACATTGAGCTGTCCAGGGCCGAGGCCAACGGATCTCTGTGTCCTCGCGGGAGACTTTCCAAACAGCTGAAGATTCAGCTCTGCGCTGAATCAGAGACTCTTTGATGGAGAAACTCAGTCGGATTTCGCTCCCTGAGAGCAGCAGAAGTTTCACAGAGGGAAGCTGAGGACACGTTTGGGGTTGAAAAAGGAGACGATCTAAAACAGGATCTGAGGCTATTTCAAAGCTCTGCAGCTCTCTCGTGTTGAATTTTACAGTGCTGTATTACCATAAAACAATACTGAACTGTAGCATTTTGGAACTGTTAGATGTTAAAACCCGCTCCATCAGGCATTGTTTATGAATAGCAACACTGAAAAAATCACTTCAAAGCTCCAGCTGAGTTCGCCGTACTTCAAGTTTCACCAATAACGCAAGCAAATATCTGATATCCATCTTACTGAGGAGAGGCTGAAACTAAAATATTGTCAACTTGAGAATTTGAGGCTTTAGTGCGGTTTCACAAGTAGCCGTGACAACAGTTTTATCTAATGAAGAGGGGAAAAAAGCAGGTTAGCAGGGTTAGTGTTCACACAAAAGCAAACTGGCTGCAGTGTTGCTGCTGATTTCAGTTCTTTTTTGTGTCAAGAGGTACATGGTTAAACAATTTGATAAAGGCACAAATAGCTTATATTATAACTAAAAACCAACCTAGATAGAAAAAGGTTTTAAAGAGCTTGTTTCTACAGAAAAAAAGCTTTTCGTCAATGGAGCTGCAGATTACTGTAAACAGGGAAAAATTGTGAGCACACTTTACACACCTGTACCTCCTCTGTTTGATGTTTGCTTTTGAGCAATCTCAACCTCTTCTTCCAAGTGAAAACTCAAACACAGATGCTCATGTTTTCCTCCAGACAGCACTTCTTTGTCTTTTTCTGAACAGGTTTTGGTGGATGTGTATTGTTTCATGTTCAGCCGTCTTACAGCCGGTTACTGTATGTATGTTTTTGCTTTTCCAAACAGAAAACCAGAAAAGAAATGATGATAGGTATAAATTAAAAAAAAAAAACAACAAAAAACAACAAAAAACCGAAAAAGAAAAATACTGAAATTTTGAATATATGTAGCCTTGTTGGTGGTGATGACTGAGAAGAAGCTAAACTCAGAAACTTAGAAAACATGCAACTTTCTTGATGTTTATCCTGTCATTAATCTTACTGTTGTACAGGGATAACGTGTACGTGAATTTGCCATCCAGATGCTCGATCTGCAACATGTGGTAAAAGGATTATTTTCGAAGATATCTGATATGATGAGAACAAGAGTGTAGTACTGCTGTTACATTAGTTTTCTTTGCATCAGTATGATTCCTTTAAAAGGATCCCCTTACATTATTTGCTCTATTTACGATAACTTAAATTTTTGTTAAAAGATGCAAAGATTTTAAGTTCTAATCATTTTGCTTCTGTTTACGTTGTTTTCGTCCTGTTTAACTTCCAGTTGTTTTGCTGTAACATACGGGTTTCCGAGCAACACATCACTGAGAGCTAATATGGAGATGATAATGAAAATTTTACAAATCACAAAAGCAACACGTGGAGAATTTTTAATATGCCATGAGGGAAAAGAAATTATTATCATCTAGTGCTCTGGTCAAATCCCTGGATTTTAATAAGATGGTGGATAGTTTTGATCAGAAATATGTCGATTAAAATACACTTATCTTTTTCAGCTAAGACAGCCCACATTGTTACTGCGTTAATGAATATTTCAACCATTTGTCAGGCTTTGTCATCGATGCTTAGATGATCAGTTTGACATGCGTTTAAATTTTCAATGTGGGACTCTGTGACAGCTAATACAGGAGAATTGGCGGATGAATGGCCTTTGAATGGAAAACATATCACATTGTTACGCTAATAATTTGTCAGAGACAAACAATATGAAGAATGAATTGCCTGTATACGCTGCATCTATCATGCAGTTTTGCACTAATGCTAACACATCTGGCATATATCTAGTGTCTAGTATACGTTGTTGATAAACAGAAGGATTTTCATACATGCCAACGTTGCTATCACTATCTCACCACTATTACATCACTATTATGTTACTCGATATCACGAGGGAGGTTCTGTGCTTTTACCCTGTGCCGGGTAGGAATTTCGTTAATGCTAAAAAAAATTTTTAAGCTAACATAACTTAGCAAGAGCTAGCCTCATGTACTGAGTGGGCTTTGTGTCATTTGCACTGGTTTCCATCAGCACAGATTTTCACCAAATTACTCAAAACAATATGCAAATTAAGCTACGTTTCCATCCATGTAGCTAACAGATCTATCTATCAACATGTGGTGTGTGGTGAAAAAAAAAGAAATTGGAATTGGTTTGGAAATGTGGGTATGAGTGCCACATACAAAGTCACCTCCTAACAATCATTTGAGTGGTTTCCCGCAAGTTGCTGTATTTTTAAATATTGAAACTGTCCATATGCTATCATCACAATGTGACAAAGAGTTTTCTACCCCCCTGCCGCATCCTCCCTTGTGTACAACAGGAAACCCGTCAACAGCTTTTAATCTAAATATTATGTGATTTAGGTTCCATATATCTTTGATTAACATTATTTTCTTCCAGTTTCCATTTTACCCTCCACTAAAAGTTTTTTTTTTTTTTTCTTTTTGTTGTAATTGGCGAACACAGATAGAATCAGTACATTCAGGCCAGAAAATGTTAATCTACAGAATCAATAAGATATCAGGCAAGAAAACTGCCAGGAAACATTCACAGATTATATTGGGTCGGACTTGTACAGATAATTTCTTTTTGATATGAGGACCATTTACTGAATAGCATTCGGTTTTGTATTATCTCGGGCAGCAGCCCACAGCAACTTTAATCTGATATGTGACAATGTTTTTGGCCGCAGCTTAGACTTGTCTAGACTGCTGGTGCCTCATCCAGCAGCAGAGGACAAGTGATACAACAGCTCAAACTGTCCTCAGTTGCAGAATGCAGCACAATGTGCGAGCTATATATCACAAGAGTTCGTGAAAATGTCACTGGCCAGACATGGAGACGTGAGCAGATGCATTCAGCAGACCCCCGTTCGGATCTGTTTTAGCCATTTCCTTCATGGGTTAGTTTACCCAGGGCGAGCTGTTTAGTGCCTCGGTGTGGGCGTGAGGCTGAGACGACAGCGCGGGGGCAACTGATGGGTGGATGGGTCAGCATCTACAGAGCACTGGCATTTCCCTAATTGGCACTTGCTATAGCGAGAATGAGTCAGTGCATTATTGTTTGTGCTTGACGTAATCCATCATCGCATCAGCACCCCTCCACAGATGTGTTTGCTCATTCACACTGTTGTTTTGATGGTGAAATTCCTCTCTAGACTAATGGCATTATTCATATATTTCTAATACCTTATTTAAATGTAAAATTTGAAACAAGTGGTTGAGTACTAACATAGTTTCTGTTTCACCTTCTTTTTTTTTTTCTTTTTTTTTTTAAACGTGCTTTATGATGATCATGTGGTGTGTTTTCATAGTAGAACAAACCTGTTAAATCAGTTGACTCAGTTTATGGACTGTTTCAAGACCTTCTAGCTTTGCCTAATATTGTAACGTTTCTTGATATGATCTTGTATCCCTTCCAATTGTTATGATAGAACTGAATTTCCAATTTTTTATTGAACATTTTGTATTTGTAATAATAGAAATGTTTGAGAAAATGTTCTGGTGACTGACATCAACAGTTGTTAGTTCAGACAAGAGTCTATTATGAGTTCATTTTAGATTCTAGATCATTATCAAGACTCACAATATGAGTGACCCAGTGTTTAATAAAGTAAAACTGAAATAGCATACAGTATTTCTGCCACAAACTGTCATTCTTTTGTTTCAACAAGTCTGAAAATCAAACAGCAGAGAAGAGGTTGTTGTTTTTTTTTTTTTTCTCCCATGGGGTGTGATGTGTTATCGGTTCTGTGACCTGATTTTCTTTGCTTTGATTAAAAGACTTATGCAAAAATTGGCTCGCCATCGTTATTTTTCAGACTCACCATATAATAACAGGGCAGCCAGTGGCTTAACAAGCAGGAAGAGGCACAAAGGAAATGAGATTCCTACTGAATCAAATGGACAAATTAAAGGAGAGGAGGACAGGACACACACACACACCACAGAGCAGTAAGACTCGACAGGCTCTACTGAGTGGCGTTTTTGTGTCTTTTTTTTTTTTTTTTTTGTATTTACACAAAAAGAAGAGGATAAATTTAATAAATAATACTTTCAAAGGCTATTTTATTTCTAAATTTGAGTAACAGTATCTGTGAGTGAGTCTACAGGATGTGAGGTAAGTGCAAAGCTACCGTAAGATTTTAGTATCCACCTTATTCCCATAGCCCCATGAATAACGAGTGTGTCATTCCTTTCGCTGAACTGGTGTCTGTGAGAGTTAGCAACATGCTACATGTGTCTTCCTTTTTTTTCTCTTTTTTTTTTAGAGATAACAGTGAATAAATGATGTGGGGACTCACCTTTAAACAGGATAATATGATAATAAGAGGCCTTCTAGGGAGGGAGCGCGACCTGAAAAAGTGGCCTCAAATAATGTACACTAGCTACTTTACTGATTCATAATCAAGCAGCAGCAGCTGCAGCAGCAGCAGGAAGAGGTATGATCATATTATCCTGTTTAAAGAAAAACTTCCAGCACAGAGACTGGAAACGAGGGGGAAACAGCTAGCCCTACTCTCTCCAAAGGCTAGCTTATCGCACCTCCAGAGCTCACTAGTCAACATGTTGTGTTGTATCTCATTTGTTTAATCCATACATATAAAGTGTAAGTGACTAAACTGATGGTGGTGGCAGACATGAGAGTGATATGAATCTTTTCATCTGACTTTCGACATGAAAGCGAATTTGCGGTGTAAGTTTGGCATGCTGTATCATTTAATTCCCAAAAATCCCTAAGACACGTTGCACATCATTAACAATTTCAGACGTCTGTTCTGTTAAAGTAATAACTGCAAGTCCCGTAACTCATGCAAAGTGTCATGGGATTAGGAATAAGGTGGATACAAGCTCCTATTTTTTATCCTTGCCTTTGAAAAAATGACACCACCTCCCTGCTGTCAAACCAAGAGCTTCCTCTTCATGGTCAGCCTGTAAATTATTTGGTAGCCATCGTCCCAGCCGTAGAGCTGTTTCTCCTCGGGGTTGTATTTCAGACTAGCGTGGGCGCCGTACCTCCTGGGGAAGTAGAGCAGGGGAGCCTCCTCGCTGATCACCATGTCGTTGACATCAAACACGCACTGAACCCGGGAGCGGCTGGGCAGGCGGGTGTTGTAAACGACGTAGACAGTTCCACAGACAACGAAAGCCGCCTCCGCATTCTCCCTCGGGCACCGGGTGTCCCAGATTTGTTCTATATCGAGCGTGGCAGGGTCCATCTTTGCGAGGTTGATGTTTGGTTCACTGTCACTGGTGGCGTACAGGAGCCAGAGGCCCTCGTCATCCACTGCGAGGTCTGCAACAGTTTCTGAGTTTAGGCTGTAAACAGTAGCGTGACTGTCCACAGGAAACATGGCGATATCTGTCACTGAGCCACTAAGCAGGTCATATTTGACCACCTGCAAGTCTATATCACCCTCCTGTTGTATGTAATACAAGTAGTCGTTATAAACAGCACCACCAGCACCGCTCCAATCAGAGGGCAGCCTGATCTGTCTGCTGCTAGTGACTCCTGGAGAGCGGGAAAAGTCACGTACCGAGTTGAACTGGTAGATAATGTCTCCTGATGTCCCATTAAAGACGTACACCTTGGATGACCTGGGGTCTCTGGTCCACACGCCCTTGGGACCGCCCACTCTCTTCAGGATTTTCACTGATCTGATGCCAGAGATGATTTCCACACAGTCTGCAGTGAGAGACAACACAAAGAGGAGGGTAATGCTTTTGTGCAAAGAGCAATAATTATGGAAAAAACATGAGCACAACTGACCATCTGCCGTATTGTTCCTGTGTCCATCAGGCTTTGTGAAGGGAGGAGCTGCTCTTTGTCAATGAGAAGTGTTTTTGTCCATTATTTTGGCATAGCAGACGGGTCAGATGTCATTGCCATGTAGAAAAAGCCAGTCAGAGATGTGAATCAGAGCGACAGCTAATTTAAAATGCTTCAACTTTAGCTACTGAACTCATCTAAAATTAACCAAGAATCCAAAAGTTAATTGATTTAAGTTGCAGATTGTATTGTTAGTTTTCTCAACACTATCATCTTCAGCTTCCACCCGTTAGCGGCTCACATGACAGAATTTTAAACTACCTCACAGTGTTATGTACACAGGTTTGTACCTTCGACTTTGTATCAAAGAGCAGGGTATTTGCTTATGTAGTTGTGAATCTTTTGTAAAGATGATTCAACTGGGAGAGTTTTATGCCAATACACATCAAATAACATTGTCTGTCTGCATGAAATTCGCATTCGTAAAAAATGAATGTGAGCTAATCAAGCTACAGCATCAATGTTAGCTTGATTTGATTGAAAACATTGTCTCCGTCTGGCTTTTTCCATCTGATGTTGACTGACTGCCTCTAGGTTGGCTGTGCTTTTCCTTTTGTTCCAGGAAGTCAGAGGGTGGAGCTAAGACTTTGTCAATGAAAAGGTGCACCTGAGTAGTCTCTCTCATTGTCTTCCCCATTCTCGGTTTGTTATTTGTGTTGCACATCGATCCTACACACACACATCACATACACTACTGATCTACTCACAGACATACTGTATTCGTATTTCATATATTTAATTACAATTTTTTGGTATTATTTAAGAAAAATTACTGACAGGAGTTGTCTGGGGTAATTCCAAGAAAAAGTAGAACAGAGCTCCAAACGCTACCATAAACTCCTATAGCAGCCATAATCGGCCTCCACACAGTTGGGAAATACAACACAGTGGAGGTGCTGGACGTGAACGGGATTTTTTTTTTCTTCCAACAAGCGAAGTTTGTTAATGATGTATTCCTTGGCCTTGCATGTAACGTTCTGTTCTTAGTGTTGGTAGTAAGTTGGACATGCTAATGATTGCAGCATATGATAGAGAAGAAAATCACACAGTTTTATCCATTCCTTTCACTTATGGTCTTGCGTTTTTGGATTTGGAAAGGTTAAAAAAAAAAAAAAAAAAGAGACACCACTCTCCAAACTTTAAACGCCAAGTACATTGCACATTGCTTCGGAATGTGGGGACGCGCAGTCCAATCCACGTAGGACCCCATCGCTCATATCAAGAGTCTGTGTGAGGAAACCCCTCTGTCCAGCCGATGAGCCGGTCATTACAAACTCAAGTTTATTTTAAATTCAACTGGCGATCCCCAGATTCTCCAAAGATACCATTTATATTGGGCTGATGTTTGAGGTCATGTGTAAAGCGACACACAATGATGACAATTGATGTAGTAATGCAGCAGTAAAATCAATGAATACTGGAGAATGTTGCATCCAGATGCTAAATGTACCGAAATTGAAATGTTGTGGCTCTCACAGGTGTGAAGTTAACAAACTATACTGATTGAATTTAGATTCCTATTAGTTCCATTAGCAAGTTTCAGCAAAGAGTCATCCCTCTAGTGAAATGTGTATTTGCAGCCCAACATTTAGGAAACTTTAAGCAGCCCTGCAGCAGTCAATATCTGACTCTCCAAATTAAGGCAAATTCAAACCAGTCAGGGGGAAATTGGACACACAGACTCATAATGAGAGGAAGAATGAGTGCAGCACACCGACAGCATGGAGATGCTTTCGGTATGAGAAGTAAGGCTAATGCCGCGCTTTCATTAAAATACATGAACAAAGGATTTCCCACTGATGTGTCCCGGAGCGATATAAGCATTATGCTCACAAATTTGAAGTGGTGTCCTCACAATGCAGTAAAGTTCGTTTTGGGTCACTTCACAGACGTTCACAATGGATCACTGTGTGCAGACCTCACTCCTGCGAACATGAGATGGGAGAGTAACGCCGCTGACCTCAGGGCATGTTTCCTGTCCTTCCTCTCTGCAGAGACACAGCTCCAGATCGCCCAGGAGATCTCACACACAGAAGCTAATGCAGAAGACTTTATTATTATGAATTGTACTTTCATCCTCTTTGTATTTAGAAGCCTGGATGCCAGAAATCTCCCTTAATTATGCACAGCATGACTACCATTATGATTCTAAACAGAGGTTTAATGGTATTACCACATAGTGCTTTATTTATGTGTTATTGATTTTCTTATTAAGTTAACAAGAAAAATAAAGACATCAATACTCTTCTCATTTGCTATGTAAGAAGAGTGTGTATAAATGGTACAGAAGGAATTTAATGATCTGTCATCAGGGGTTTGGATTTTGGAACCACTTAGGTGCAAAAATATAGATCTGTTGCTTAATGCACCACACTCAGTGAAATCTAAAGAGAATACAAAATCGGTTGTGTTTCATGGAATTAAAATCTGATTTTAAAACCTCCCATGTCAGGCTTTAGGGGGGTTATAAATCCCTGTATTACCTAAATAAATGAGTCAGTGCAGTAGCTGTTTTTCAGCATTGTTTGTGGCAGCACACATCTTTGGATCTGGAGATTATAAAGACAAATGCCGGGCTCAGACAGCACCAACGGAGCAGTAGCTCTGCTGAAATAAATTAGTTGCATCAAGCCACATTTCTCCTGGAAAACATGACTGCCCACTGGCTGAAAGCACTCCGTTAAATGACTTGTAACAGCACTGTGTTTGTTTCCTATTTTCCAGTGGCATGGTTTTTCCGAGACAGCAGCTCAGCTGAAGGGGTGGTATGGTGTCTGGTGAGATGTGTAATGCTAACTGTAACTCCAGAACATACATCCTATATATTCTACAGGGTCTGACTGTGCCAAGGCTCCGTCATGAATGAAAATGAAAGATCAAACGCAGCCATCCTGCACAGGACACAGGGCTGAAGTGTGTTTGTATTTCCCTGCAGCTCACCAGAGACTCTGGAGTGGAGCTCCTCCCAATCGTCTTCCTCCTCTTCCACTCCTCTGCTCTCCTGCAGTCCCCAGACCCCCTGCTCCACCACCTTGTCTGCCTTATTCGCACAGGCCCGGGGCGAAGTCTGAGTTTCCACGTAGTCCATCTCTCGCTCCACCCGGTCCACTCGGACTGCAGCTCCCTCCAGGTCTTTGAACAGCATGCTGTGCTCATTCCTCAGCCCATCCATGGTCTCAGCAGTTAGCTTTTTGAAGTCCAGCAGCTCTGTGTGGTAGCGACGGGACTGTTCATGCCAAAACTGCATGCGGTCCTATAGGGACATGGGAAGAGCAAAACAAGTGCTGTAATGGTAAGATGGATGAGGTTTTGAGTTGTTTTTTTGTTTTTTTGCAAAAGCCAGCTAAACAGGAAAAAATAGTATTTTTATTTTGTTCAACTTTTTAGCCACACTAGCACCATGGCTTTAGGGACTGCAGTCTGTTGGTCCATTCAATTTTGTGCGGATATTCATAGTCCCCACAGGATGAATCCTTTTGTGACCCCTGGCTTTTCCTCTGGTGCCACCATGAGGTTATGAGGTTACCACGTTATACATATATTTATATATTTATATATATTCATACACATGATGTACCACAGCCTTGCAATTATGAGGCTGCTATGCATCAAGGGAACTGGGAACTCATAGGAGTTGGAGGAGTTGTGGTGTGTTCTCTTCACACAAGAGAACCAGTGGAGAATGGTGCAGGTGTGTGAGTGTCTCCATAGCTAACGCTGTCTTGTTTCACTTCACAACGTAGTACAGTTTCCTATCACATAAGAGGCAGTGAGCAGATTAGAGCAGTACAACACCTACAAAACTAATAACATTCCCATCAGCCTGCTAATTACAAACCAATAGCTAAGCTAGCTAATTTAGGTTGTTTAACAGGTGTGATTACCAGGTTAGCTCTTGAACTAACCACCTTTGATAAAAGTGTAAACACTCCCAAGTTGGAATAAAGAGATTTTTTTTCCTTGTTCTTCCCATTCTGCAGATGATGAACGCAGCATTATATGCGCTAAAACATCAACCTGCTAGCATTGTCATCATGAGGTTGTCAGCATGCTTTACCTCAAAGCACCAGCCTCACAAAGCTGCTAGCTGTGTTGCCTAACATAATCAATTTCGGATGGTAAAAATGTGTCTGTCTGTTTCAATCAAAGCGTTATCACCATCACCAAATAGAAAACAGCTCTGTGTTTCTCAATGTGATTGACACAACCAGAGTGACAGGTGAATTATGTAATAACTGACGGCTCCTGCACTGTCTCCTCCGCCTCAGTTTCATTTTCTCCTTCTGCTTGCTGTGGGCCTGTGGTCAAATAGAAATGAAAGTTCAATGAAAACTTGCAGATGAATTGCCATGTTCATATCAATGCAGGAGTTGAGCCAGCATATTGGAAATGAGACTGGGGGGAAGCCGCAGGGAGGGGGGGGCAGGATGTAAATAGATGATTCATTTCATGCGGATAACATTTTTAAGTTTGTCATTTTTGCATCACAGACACACGGCTGATGAAAAAGAACATCAAGACTCTGAAAATGCTCTCCAAATGAATACGTTCAAGTTCAGTGAAATTACTCCCTGAGGAAAGCAAACATGTAATCCTCTTGCATTTCATATCACACTCACCTAAAGCCAACAGAAATGTCTTTCCTTATGCAAAGTCTACTTGCTGTCTTTCATGGCACCCATCCTGCTTTATAACCCTTTTAAAACATAATAGTAATAGTAAAAGTAATTTCACTTCTTCCCTGAGGCGCTTTGTTGTAATACAGATTCACTCTACCATTGCAGAACACATCTTTCTGTTAGGCTGCTGGGATGTTTGAAGGCATGGAAGCAAAGGTTGGCCTTGTACTCATTACCGGTGTGTCATTGTCTTAAATGCTGCAGAAACTGTTATGTTGTCGAACAGAAGCTGCGCGTTGCATGAGAAGGAGAGCCCCGCATGCATCAACTGATATTCTGCCAGAGGCCCCTGCAAAGTTGATGAGCTGGGCAGAGATTGCATTAATTGGACTGCGTTAGTTATGACATTAAGTTCTAATAAAAAGACTGAGGAGGCAAACATCAAGAACTCAAAAGTATCAACTAGTTTTTCATTTAATTTTTTTAATGACTTTTACTTCAGAGAGATGTATGCTGCCATTTTATGCATGAAAAAAAACAAACAATATATTGATCAATTATCAGTCAGTTAAAGGGGGGGTTGCTTCTTACCTCAATAGCCAACAACCTGTTCTCCAGATAATCCATCAGCCCCTGGTAGTAATACTGGGCTCCCGTGAATGTCCAGGCTGTGGAAACAAGGAGGACTAACACCGGCTTCATTGTGAGCCGATTAATGGGACAGCTGAGATTCTTAGTCTGTCCAGATTTCAGAGGACTCTCCAGGTTTTCCTCCTTGATGCAGAACTGTCCTTATGAGTTTCACACAGCCTATAAACACCTTTATACAGCTGCTGCAACTACATGTGCGAAGAGGTGAGAAGGATAGAGAGAGAGAGAAAGAGCAAGAGGCCGCTCTGAGAGTTTCCAATTCTTTGACCGCTCTCACTTTGCTGGAATGTTTTCACAAACTCTCAGGGAGGAGCCTTGTGCCTCTTACCCCTTGCTGTCCTAAAAAAGAAAAAAAAATGAATGTACTCCACACGCTCTGTGTATGTGTTTGTTGCACATCTAGATACTGTTACACTATATATGTCATATACTGCAATCATATGGGACAGTGCACAGTAACATTACTGTAAATGCACCAGAATCAACCAACAGGCTATAAATCCATATGTAGTCCCTGGATAAATGTTATAAAATCACCATGAAATATAACAGCAATATACTTTTGGGGGATCCAATGTAAAATCCATCTGACGATCATGAAGCACCTAGACCAGCTTTTATGTCCCGTCATATTATCATATAAATAGGGAGCATATACTTTTATTCAGAAACAAACTTTACTGTTGTTTGTTGGGCAGCATGCAGTAAATGTATGAATAATAATGCTAACAGTTAAACTCGATATATTAAATTGTATTCTCAAGTAAAAGTGACACGTTTTTCTCTGTTGCTATCATGAAATGACATTTTGATTTGATTATTTTCCATCTCAGCGCCATAAAAAATTAGTTCCATTTTGTTTTCTGTTGTCTGCTTTTACCTTGAAAAACACAGTACACAGACAAAATGGATGATGCACAAAGGCTGAGTTGACAGTTCACATATAAAACATCTAAATCAGCCAGTTGATTGTAGAGAGCCTGAGAGATGAGGGGAAAAAAAGAGCATTTTATTATCACCATAAACTTTAAGCTTGTAGCAATTCTCTTCAGTGAACTATTTGTTTAGAATTTTATTTGAAAGTATACAGAAGTACATATAATGTTGGAAGTGACGTTTATTCATTTGGTGTTTGTATTACCGGACGATGCTTGCTTTTTTTATATTTGATAATTAGTGGTGTCTTGTAATTTCATGTGGTATGGGCCACATGTTTGGCATTACACGGCTAATAACAACTAACTAACTAACAAACTATAGTCTAAGCCTGTTGTTCCCTGTCTCTGCCCTGTAATTATTTAATATGTATTAGGTAATTTAAAAATTACTTACAACACAATAGGTGAAAAATAATCAATGATCATCATACTAATAGAACAACAGTACACAACGAGATAATGAGGCTAGTGCATAAAAAGAGAGTAAAAGAAGATGCCAGAATACTCTTGGAGGAAAGAGTCCAGTTTAGATGAAGTGTTAAAACAGAGACAGTGTCAGCAGAATGAATCTTAAAGCAATGTGAAAAAAACAAAAAACTGTTAAACTTGTACCAAACTGCAGTTATTTTAAAGTTGAGGGACAAAAACATTTGCAGTGGCTATTGTGTGTTCCAATTAAGCAAGAGTCGAACATTTATGGCTTCACTGGTCCTCACAGTTGATCCGCCCCCTCCCAAATCGACAGCTAGAACTAGTCAATAACACTTTGTTTCTACTTGGACGGAGATTGCATTGCCCTGATGTGAGCCATTGGCGTACACTGTAGATTGTCTTCGCTGCAGGGGGAAACGGACCGAGTGCATTTATTACACAGACAGTCACAGTGACTGACAGCGTCTGACTTTTCACCCCAGAGGTGGTTTTAGAAAGTTTCAGGGTGTCAGACTGAGGTACAATTTTAAAGAAGGGGGGGGGGGCACTACTGATAAAACAGAGGAATCATTGTCTGTCTTTCAATTTTCACAACATTCGATCATCGAATCGACTTCAAACTTCACAGGTGATTGCTTGATGAGCGGTTGTTGAGAAAATTGACAGAGATTCCTCCATTTATTTTAAACTGTAATCTGCACTTGCTGTTACCATGGTAACCATGCTTTGGTTTCAGTATTGTGCTGCAGGGATGGCGTATTTCTGTAGGCCAACCCGGAAGTTAGTATCACCCTGGTTCCCTCAACAAAAAGCGAATTGGATTTTTCCATTGACTTTTGGATTACTGCAGAAAATAAACTCTGTAATAAACAACAGTTTGTGATATATTGATTACAATCTTCACAAATGAACACAACTATGATTTTTGAGGACTAAATTGGCATAATTAAAAAGCTAATGTTAGGCTAGAAACAAACTGCACCACGGTACTATGACTTCAACGTCACCGCCTCTAAGCTTCCAACTTATCATTTGGTTTAGCGTGCTTACCTCTTCTACAAAACGCTTTCCTCTTAAAAAGTAATAGTGGAAATGGAAATGTCTTAAGCTTGCGTTAAACACAGACCTTATTTCAGGCATGTAATGAAAAACACATTCAAAAAACCCATAGGCTTAAGGACAAGGGACCTGGAAGTGCTAAAATGCTTATTAATTTCTGGGTTATAGGACTCATTCCTGCAGCATTTTATTGTGAGCCCACCCTTTGATGACATCATCAAAAGTCAAGCTCCAGCTTGATGGACACTATAAACAGAGTAAAAATGTGTTAAAACTCACATGTAAAGCCCTGCTAATAACAAACTATACATTATTAATAGTTACATTGTGTTTTCAGTGTGATAAATGAATACCAAATAAATAATTCTAAATATTCTAATATGAATTAATATCAATAAATAGCTGTGATTAGTAACTCCAAACATTATGCAGACATAAACAAATTATGAGACAACGGGCACCTGGACACAAACGAATAAAAGGTCCCCCACCACTCATACACAGGAGCAAGACCCCCAGATAGTAGTAGTCGTTTTGCATGTCTTTGTAGTCATTTTATGTCTATGCTGCAACGTTTGCAGTCAATTTGCATCCCTTTGTTGTTACCTTTGCATCTCTTTGTGGTTGCTTTGTGTCTCTTATTTTGCATCTTTTTAGTTGTCTTGATCTATTGTTGTTTTGGATTTCTTTTGCACCCGTTTGTGGTGATATTGCATCTCCTTTTAGTCATTTTGCACCTCATGATGCACCACAACTGACCTCAGTCACAACAGATATAACTGTGAATCATGAAGCCTGTGTACACATATAAGATATAACTGTGAATCATGAAGCCTGTGTACACATCAGAAAACAAACCATGAAGTCAGAAAAGTTCACGTCCCAGGCTTGCAGTTTGTTACTGTATCATCATAGTTTGATTGAAGTGTGGTGCCGAATACTCTGCAGCCTAATGACAGTGCGTCTAATCATGCTCTTTTTCGACCGGCTCCAGCCAACTATCATCTCAGCAAGTCCTGAACTGAACCACAATCCCTGTCTATTTTTGTGCCTGCAGACAGCAGACCAGACTGTGAGTGTCGTCATGGTAACAAAGTGCTGCTTTTAGAATCGAAACGGGCAACCTAGAGTTTGATCTAATCTGGATCACATTGCCTGTCTGGAACCGGCAGGCGAGGGCATTGACAGGCCAGCGGCTGTAAAATCGTGTGTGTTCATGTGCCTCTTCTTCAATCATAGTTTCTGACTGATGTGAGTACTTACAGTTTTATCCCCCTTTTTTCCATTTTGCTAAATGGATCTGAAGCATTCATCTCATACTGCCTGCCACTCAATGTGGGTTTTTTTTAATCTATTATTAATTACTGGCTTAATTGCACCATTGAGTTGTGTGATGTGATCAAAGGGCAAAGCATCACTCAGGATTCATTATGTTCTACTAAGCATCAGCATATTGCAGTCTCATAACCTTTTAGCTCGGGGCTGATAAACAATGAAAGGGTGTAACTGTTGCTCAGACATTTGTTGAGGGGTGGGTATCACTGATTCAATTTATTCAGGGGAAAGAAAACAGAAATGTCCTGTGGCAAGATTTATGAGGCCACTGTTGTGCATGGTTCCTTTATAAAGTTATCCACAAGATGGCAGTCTCTGTCTTTATGTGAAGTCAACAGTGATAGAGGAAGTATTCCGATCCTTTACTTAGACTTAGTAAAGGTACCAATACAACAGTAACCCATTATAAGTATAAATCATGCATGCATCATTTAAAATACTTCTCAAGTAAAAGCACTCTGACCAAAATCTACTTAAAGTATCCAAAGCAAAAAATTGTTGTTCTGCAGAAAAACTATCCTTGACTGATATATTATTATATATTACATGTTCGATCAGATTCAACAATGTGTAAACAGCATTTTAGTGCTGTTGACAAGGAGTTAGTTTTCACTATTTTATACTCAATACTTATACTTTATACTTGTTAAAACACAATCTGCTAAACAATAGGTCATAAAATATATATTTAAAACAACTAATCATGTTATTCAAGTAACAGTGTGGGGGCCAAAGGTTAACAAGACACTTGAGAGCTACCGCAGTCATTAAAAACCATATGTAGCAGGTCAAATATTCGTTAACATCAAAGACTGTTTATATAAATAGTGGAAGTGGAATATCACAAATGCACACAGATGGTCAATTAGACCCTAGAGTGGTCTCATTTCCTGTCAGACCTCTTATGATCAAACTGTTAAATCTGGGAAGGTTGTAAAAACTACAGTCGACACCAATCATGGATCAAGAACGTGTGAAAATCAGCAAACAGAAGAAATGCGTCATTTTCTGTATTTGACTTCTGAATATATTCAGATATATGAATAATAAGAAATGTCCTTAAAGTTGGTTTACAGTAGATTTTTAATGATCTGTCCTCAGGGATGGATTAAAATGACATCTATGAGGTAACCTTAAGAGTTACCACAGAACAGCTAACATTTTATGTTAACGCCTCCTATTTAGTATTAGGATATAGCAGCACATTAATAAATGGTTTATAACACACTGTAGTGTAGTTGTAAGCAGATATAAGGACATTTTAAGTGTTTATAAATGTACAGTATT